GCGCACAACACCACCTGCGACAAGCCAGTCCAGTTACTGACCGCTGTTGTCCAATTGTAACCAAGTGTGAACCAGGCATAAACATAGCAAAAAATCACAGTTTCTTTGAATGTGTAGATTGAAATACAAGATGGTAAAACGCATATCTATACTATTATAATGAAGCGTAAACACACACTTCTTTGTTGCCTAAGATGTCAGCAATTACACCATATTTTTGAATAATTCTTTTTTTAATAAGAAGCCCTACACTTACGTCACGCTTTAAGCTATATATTTTCACGCCGTTAAACTTAGGAGGTAAATATTTTAGATAAAAACTCTAATGTGGGAAAATTGACCGTAAATTGCTGCCAACATCAAGGAAGCAAGATTGTCATCATGTCATGTCATTTTGACAGCTGTAAACAATAAAATAAAATTTTCATAATTTCACGCGGATAAAGTCGCACGGGAACTGCTAGTAAATATTATAAATGGACTTGAATGTATGAATATTTGTTAGTCCGTATCTTCAAAACGACTTAGCAGATTTAAAAAAAAATCTCAGATTTAGAACATAGAACACATTACCGTAAGTTTTTTTTAACCAAAGCTAGTAAATAACAAACAAAATTATTGTTACAAGACCATGTGAATACCTTGTTGACACGCGACATGAGCGCGGTGACAGCGGCCGCGCTGACCAACGTCACGTTGACCCCTGCAGCGCTCAACCGCGCAGCCATCGCGTGGCTCTACCAACAGTGGACAATACTTCATACACTAAAAACACTGAAAATACATATAACCAACTCTCATAATAAACTCTCTAGAACATAAAACAAATCTTACTAATATTATAAATGCGAAAGTTTAGATGGATGGATGTTCGTTAGCGTTTGTAGCCTCAACGGCTGAACGGATCTCGATGAAATTTTGTACAGGTTTAGAGCATAGTCTGGAAGAACACATAGGCTACTTTTTATCTCTGGAATAGTTACGGTTCCCGTGGGATTCATTAATTCAGTTTTTTAATGTTTACTCGATCATTCTGCAATGGTTCAACATATCTTATTGAAAGGCACAGATATAAAACAAAGTCTGGAGTACACATGGGATAAGCTTTATCTCCGAGAAAGGTCCGGTTCCCGAGGGATACGTAGCTTTTTTGACCGACTTCCCAAAAGAAGGAGGTACTCAATTCGTCTGTATGTTTTTTTTGTTATTTATGTAGTTCGTATGTTTTCTAATACCACGCGGACGAAGACGCGGCCAACAGCTAGTGATATTATAATCTTTAAAATCTGTCCAATAGATTATAGACACAAATGATGGCGAAAAAATAACATAAATGGAGTCTAGAATTTAAAATAACCCTTATGACTACAAAACACTAGTTGTGGAGTTTAAAAATATTACAACCCCATACTATTTCAAATCCTTAGGAATATTAACTAAAACTTTAGTTTCATTAAATAAAAGAAAACGTGGCAGTTATTATATATGTGACCTTGGAATGACCTTGAAGTGTTATAAAGCTTGAAACCTTGCTAACATTATAAATGCGAAAGTTTAGATGGATGTTTGTTGTAGCCTAAATTGCTGAATGAATTTAGACGTTTGGTATAGTTACTCGCTTTTGTTCTTTTCCACGCGGACGGAGTCGCGTGCGAAAGCTGTGAAGGTACCTGTTTGACATCAGGGCTCTCGGCCAGCAGCAGGCGGTACCTCCTGGAGGCGGCGGCGCGCAGGAAGCGCTCGGCGAGCCTGCCCGCGCCGTACGTCAGCACCAGCTCGTCCGCGTGCACGTGCTCGCGAGCCTGCTCGCACACCGCCTGCGTGCTCGCGTCCAGCTCGCCGCGTAACTACACTCACACATATCATACTTCTATACTAGCTTTCGCTCAATGGGTGCAAATAAAAAAAATAATAAATAGCCTATGTTACTCACTGACAAAATACCCAGTAGTTTTTGAGTTATTTCATTACAATCAAAGTTTCATCTTTATAATATATGAATATAGATTACTAACTGTTCGTCTGCGGCTTAAAAATAATAAATAAATACAATTCTTTCCTCCCTTTCTATACTAATATAATAAAGCGTAAACACACACTTCTTTGTTGCCTAAGATGTCAGCAATTACAATTTATTTTTGAACAATTCTTTTTTTAATAAAAAGCTACACTTACGTCACACTTTAGGCTATATATTTTCACGCCATTAAACTTAGTGAGTACATATTTTGGATAAAAACTCTAATGTGGGAAAGAGACCATAAGTTGCTGCCAACATCAAGAAAGAAAGATTGCTAAGGTTTGTCATGTCATGTCATTTTGACATTAGCTATTGAAAATTTGACAAATGTTAACATTAAAATAAAATTTTCATAATTTCATGCGGATGAAGCCTCATGGGAACAGCTAGTAAGCAATAAAATAAAGTTGTCATAATATGTGAATAAAGTTGCA